TGTTTAAATTCGAAATGCCAAGCAGTCAAATAAATAGCGATTGCGCTGTAGTAAGGTATTAGCTGAATTTTAGTGCGAACTGACGACAGTGCGCAGTACTCTGCCTGGTAGATGGTGGTTCTACATCAATATTCTTTTTACAATACCATGCCTTAATTTCCCCTGCAATTAAAGCCTTGTCGGTTTCCGACATTATGCCTTATAAGTACTTGTGGTTCGTCTAATGCTCATTAGTTACTGTCTATCCTGATAGTTGAGTAGACTGAGCAACTTGTGTCTACAACGACTGGGCTTTCCATAATATCTTACTGACTGGTTGACCATGAGTACAGTGCGTTATCACAAAAATGCGCTGCATTATCCAAATTTCTGCCGATTCTCAACGCACCTTACGTCATTTCGCACGGCTTTTGCATTTATTGGTTAAAATAAAGGGTAGAAAATTGTACGTTTTTTGGATCATCATTCCAGAATGTTTAGATAGGCTTATAAAGGTACTCTACGTAAATGTGGTTTCATCCGATATAATAGCTGTCATTTTGATAATACATACTTGTGCACGAGTACATAAAACCCCGTTTTGCATTCGATTTTCTCACTTTTCTAATATATACAATATTTTTATGGGAGGAAGACATCGACCCTTACGTAAGCAGAAATAGAAGGATGGTTGCCGATTTTTTTACAATACCTCCAACGATAGAATTACTCAGAGTCAGGTTAATATGGCGGATGCTGTCAAAGAACACGTGATATACCGTTTACAAAAACTATTTAAGAAGGAAACTTAAGTAAGGTTGGCCATTTTATTTAACGAATGTACCTGTCTTTTTTGTGCGCTTTCGCGCTTACCTTAGTCATTGAATCTGTGGGTCCAAATATATATGGTTAAGTCTTTCGTTTTAGGCCCCGTGAATATGCCCACGATAAGCTTAAAAGGTTAAGACAATGAACACAGATTTTCGATACACCATCAGTATTCATAAACAGTTGCACAGAGCATGAAAACTTAAGAAGTGGACGCGCATTCTTTACGAACTCTCTGCGCTTACGCTTGGAAGGCCACGTCAATGTGCATTTAATAATTAACTTGTTTCTGTGGAGCGGGATTCGGTGGCCGTAAAACGAGATGGCTGGGAAAGAGGTTGCGTGAACACATACCTGCCTGGCTAGGTAGAGGTAAAAACGGATCACCCTCGAGTTCCATTCACGCGTACCTATACTGATTGTCAAGTCAATTTAACACAAACCTTTCAGGTTGTCTATCAGATAACACCAAGCTTCTATAACTGCTTACGTCAACGGGTGCTTGCAACAACCGAGGCACTTACCGCTGTTTTATTGGAAGACATTTGTAAAGATGCTCTCTGTTCCATGACCAACGCCGACTCCAGGTTGTGATCTTACAATTCAGCAACGCCTTGGTGTAAATGGTTAACTCTGCGCATTTAATAGTTATGTTCACTCCCCGTACTCGACGTACCTGTCCTTCCCTTCCCTCCCTCAATCCTAATGACCACGACAAGCCGACTTCGTCATGCCGCCGTCGTGAAAAGGATGTGGTAGCCATGATAATACTTTTAAGCCAAGTCAGCCTCTCATATTTTATGAATAGCACTATGTAGGATAGAATATAAAACAATGGAATTGTCTGTACTGGAGAATCGGCATCCCAATTCCCGTCTGTCTGTCGATGACCTGGTGAGTCAGCGTCGAAAATTCACACAATAAACCACCCCTCCCCAAAGTACTTCTTCTGCCGAATTGAAATTGTTTGTTTGCCGACTCGTCTTTTTATGTGTTTTTTAGGGTTACTTTAAAGCATATAGGGTATGACAAATATCTTCTTGTGTGCTTGCAGCAAGAGTCCACTACAAACCCCCAGAACATTCTCTAGTACTTGAGCTAGCCTTATACGTATTACCAACCAAGACAATGAAAATTTGAATTGTCACTACGCGAATTTATCTCCTCTTTACTAAGTTCTACTCTACCGTTGATAAGGGTTGGCCTAGGCTTTAGACAGACGTCTCTACGGCCAGTGATGCAGCAGACTCCTGAAAATCTTCAGTTACTCTCGACCGCTCCTAAAAGAGGATAAGCGAATGACTCTGCAATTTAGTATCTCGTGAATCACTGCGTATATAAATCTGCATAAACCTCCAGTATTCCACTTTTGATTATATTCCTTATCACTGCTTATTAGTCGCTGATCCAGCGCCTGCAGGGGGAAAGCGAAAATCCAATAATCCATCCTATCATATCTGTGGACGTCAGTCCCTTGTGAATTATGTTGCAAAGCAACCAATTTTTGCCGTATTAAGAACCAAGAGCTCAAAACCTCCTGGTAGTAAATTGCATTCTTTCATGCCATCAAACATGGATAAAGAAAAAAACCACGGAATGTATAAACAAGATTCATATGGTTGGACTTTCCACAACGAAATATAATCGCCAGGGAACAAAATGTGATTGCTGTTTTAAAACGCAAAATCCATATAATATAATTCATTGAAATAAGTATTCAGCACAATTGCACTATAAAACGATAATCCAACGGTATGTCATATTATTAAACCAAGACAACTGAAAAACAACGTTTGCCCAATTAGCTATTTAAAGCAACTTTCTGACAATTTTATTACTTCTGAAAAATAAATGTTTTCCTTAATGTAAGTACATTAATCACCTATGCATTTGTATTGCCAACAGTAATATTAAACGTTGCATTATAGGTTCTTCTGGCAAAACAGTAAGATATAACGTTATTTCTAGACGGGAATACTGCGTACGATACGTTGAATTTGGTATCTTAGATTTAAAAGAGCAAATGTTTGACCGTTTACTAGTTACTATTTGCAAGTCTATACCTCCCTACGCTCTAGATTATTCCTAAGTTAGGAGAGTAATTTCTTAAAATTTAACTGAGTATAAGCTTACGTAGATAGCTAATGAATAGCTGGAAATAAGCATGTAATTCCTCGTGGACACGTACAAGACCTTACTCTGTAACGAAGTGATCTCGTCATGATTTAAAGCTTTTTTGATTAAAACGACTTCCAAAGGGCTCTGCCTTGAGGTCCCGTAAAGCACCCTTTATTTAAAAAAGGTTTGCCAAGAACATTCGTTAATGATACACAAAAACGCAAAAAAATACAAGTTATATGACGTAATGCGCATTTTGATTAAACGATCAGATCCCTTCTTTGGTGCCAACTTTCGAGGCTTAAGCCTTATAATTTAACTGCCTCGTTCAGTGTTTTGGTCTTATTCTACTTTCAATAGTGTTATTTTTCTGTTACATTAAAAAATTGACTAGATCCTTATTTCACTAGACGAATAAATTTCATAATAACGCTTAATTTCATAAACTGGTACGGATATGCCGCAGGAGAAAGTGTGGCTGGTTATAACTGATAGTTAGTTTTCAATTTATTATATGTATTTATATTATACAACGGAAGCAGTTCGCACCTAGATAATTTGACGTAACTTGCGAACGTTTAAGCCACCCAATTCAGAATTTACAAACTTTTTTGAATAGCCAAAAATGTCCTTCCCTGAAAAAATTACCTTCCTTTTTAAAAAATTAAAAACTGTTGCAACTGGCTACTTCAGTCTTATTTTCAGCAGTAATATGCGGCTTCCTTTATTCCGGTTGCCATTGCCGACTTCTATTTTCAAGGATTCTTGTAGCAAAAAGTATAAAATATGCGCATGTGCTATTCCCTCTGATTTCAAGCAATTCTGAAAAAAATTTCCACTTATGATTAAAATGTTGTACTGGCTAACACTATTTTTAGTCATTCCTCTTCAAGCCAGTGCAGTGATATGGAAAATCAAACGGTCAGGTATGTGCACTGATTACATAGTCTGCGTGGTAGGGGGGATGATAACCCATCTCGGCGCTCCCTCGTCTCATGAATGCTGGCGCCAGCGTGTTGAAGATGTTGGATGCGGCGCGCAGTAAAGAGAGTGGATTTTTTCATGGTCGGCGGTTTGAAGTCTGTACGCCATACGCTCGGCGTGCGTTTGAGTATTCTCTGTGCCTGGCCCGACAAAGGAGGGTAACACCAACTGGACGCAAGAGAGGCCCTATCAAGTCATCTACCAGGTACCGACACACTAAAGGCCTGCGCACTACGGAGCTATCCACAGCCGAAGCATTGGCAGTCCGTTTAGCAACCCACTCTCTGCTGCCAGAAGGCGCGGGTACAAGTAGTTTGTCTTTCTTGGCCGACTACACGCGTGAATCCCATGCCACCCGAAGCCATGCTGTCCGAAAATATGGCATTTGAAGTACGCCGAGAAAATGGCGTACAGACCTCAAACCGCCGACCATGAGAACATCTCCTCCGTACCCATAGTCCTCAACACGCTGGCGCCAGCAGGTATGCCTGAGACGAGGGAACACCAAGATGGCTTAGCACACCCAATCCCGAGGACCCCGAGGACCATACAAACGCTGCATATAACTGAACGTTTCACCCTACATCTCATTGTACCGGGCGGAAGATAAATGACTGAAAACAGTTGTTTGCCATAACGACTTATAATCCAGAATTGTAAACTTTATTATAATAAAGAAGCAAGTCAACCTTAATGTGCCCAACACGTCCGCATATGGAGTATTTTCCTGGGCTCTTCTTCTTTGGAGTATCTACGTCTTGCTTATCTTTGACTTACTCTGTGTTCTAAGTTCTAAATCTGTAAGTCAGAATACGAAGGAAATTGAAGCCAAACAAGTAGAAAACCCAAACTTCAACTGCTTAACTAACCCCTTTGTTTACTTAATCTAAAAAATAGAGTCCGATTTTGTGAAATCAAAAGGTCTGGTGGTTGGAGTCTTTTCGGAAAACGTGAGGTTCCAATGCGGAATTATATTTTCACTCAAAATATAAAGAATGAAATTTCCATTTCGAGGCTTTTGACTACCTAAGTACAGCAGACTGAAACTGGCATGTAACTTTGAGGAAAATAACTTTTACCACAGAGAGAAATTACCAGCAATGTTTCTCGGAAGCCTCAAATGTCATCTCCTTATCAGGCGTTTCGTCCACGCTATCTTTTGCTTTCTTATGCTTCCGAATCTTCCAACTGGATTTCCTCCAGAATTCTTCCTGTTGGGCAGACTGTTCTTGACGCCATTCTAAATAAGCGTCCAGCAGGCCAGGATTGTCGTAATCAAGTTCCCGCATTGTGGCCAAAATGCTTCGTCTTTGTACTGCTCGGCACGCTTTTGGTAGCTTATAAGCATTTACTTTATTTGAGGCGGTCAAATTTGAAGTGGTCGACTCTTTCGGTTCCACATACCCCACCCTCCGTCTAATGGATTTGTTCCTGGTATCTTTTTTCTTGGTGCGGTTGGTACGGCTGTCGTCGTCTGATTTAGTCTCATTTGAATCAAAGGTGACGCTTTTTCTGTTTCTACCGGACGGAATGTCCATTTCCGGTCCACATGACTTAGTTTCTTTTGACTGGTTTCTCCTGACAGTATACACTTTGGCCAGACTCCCCTTACATCTGCCCTCCCTTTCTTGGCTGTCTGTGTCCTGTTGTGACTGGTTCTGTTGTGTGTGCATTTCCTGTTCGCATTTATGTATGTGCATACGCCGCCGTGGAGACTGACTGTGCCGCCTGTTACTTACCTTACATGTAAACGCCCCTTTGATGCTGTTGTTGGAGACCTCGTTCAAATAGCTCTTCCTTACT